CTTACACTTGACTTTCTTTCTGATCTCAAAGCAGGACGAAGGACGCGCTCGCGAAATATTATGAAATTTTACGAACTACAGGCCAACTGGGATCCTCCTCGGAAGCATATACGGCGCCATGTGCCGCGAATGCGTTTCCATCTACGTCTTGGGAATGTTTCTAGTGTTATGTTTTCGTATTAACACCTGCTGTGGACCCCTCCGTCCCTCTCCGCCCATGCACGTCCGGAGCACTTTCGGAACGTTGGTATGAGTTCCAATGCGACTCGTACGTTTCCTAAATCCACCGTGGCGTTGGACGTAACCCCCCGACGACTCAAGGAAAATTTCTTTCCTGAGACCTTATTCGATGTGACGGCCAATGTGCGAACGTGGATCTTTGGAAGCTCTCCAAGATCGTGGATCACATGATCATTTCTTGAAATTTAAAGCACGTCGTGTTAACCAGAAAATTTTCAAAGGTCATATTCCATTCTTAAGCGCAAATTTGCAACTTAGATATCCCAATGCATCTAAATTGCAAAATTTGTATCTTAAATCAAGAGTCGTTTAGAATCCGGCTTGCAGTGGCTCTCGAACACTTGAATGGATCTTATAAAAGCTCTCTCTTTTTATATTATGATGAAAATTCTCTTTCAGGATACAATGTACGATCATATAAATATCTCCTGTAATATTCGGAGGAAATATTACTGACGATCCACGCGATGCGATAAATTTTATTACCGTTGTCGTTTTATTACCGTTATAAAACGATTTAATTACGTGATTCGGATTGACACGAATGTTGTTGGGTCAAATGCGGCTTAAGCTTTTTTTTTTACCTGATTTTTCTATTTTAAATGGTGCATATGTCCAATCTCTGAATGTGTTGGGAAAGGATTAAACCCTTTTCACCTCGTTTCGAGTGAGCAAAAATATCTCTGTCCATGCTAATACCCACTTGCGCGATATTTTGCCCGTTACCGCTCGAATCTAAACCTTTAATCTTTATCATGGCAATAAGTAAAACATAGCTAACAAACTTAACTACTAACTTACGCGATACACACAAACATGGCTATAAATATAATAACGTTGTTACTATTTTACCAAAATCTTGAATTGTGCTTATTTAATTTATTTTCTAGAAAGATATAAATATTTTTATGAATTCTTTTACGATACAAAATTGTGGTTTTATTGCTAAAAGATCAATCGCATTTATAAGAGAAAAATAATTCTGTCCGAAGTACAGTTGTATTACATCACGAAAATGTGTATGCAATGGTATATAAACGCAATTTATTTTTCTCGTTTTAACAAAGATAATAAATTCGTATTTAACAATGTATTTCACATTTCAGAACGGCCACATTAAATATTCTCAAGTTAATATGATAATTAAGATATCTATAATATCACACGTATTAAAACACAAATTTATGCGCGAGGAACGGAAAGCCGTACTTCATGTTACGGAGTTTCATATTTTTGGTAAGATTCGATTTTACAATCTTTCAACGCTCATGGAGCAACATACGTTCGTAGGGGAACATATAACCGTATTCACAGAACGGCGCGAGGACCTTTCTTCCCTCCAAACCTTTTTCTCTTTTCGATTCGCGATCGCGTTACATGGTTCTGGAATCTTTCCAAGGAGCCGGCTCCGCGATTTTTAGAGCGAAGATTGAGGCGAAAAGTGTATGCAAAGTACCTCCGGATTTTCTGAGATTCTTGATACGTTTTCGGGACTTCATATTACTATCTGGATAATATGGACTTGACACATTCTTCTCGTTGTTACATGAAGAATTTTTCCAAAATCGTACAAGTTCTAACGAGACTTAAAGCATGTTGCTATATTAATAAAAAATATTGTTTAAATAATATGCGTGATAATAGACAAAAGAAATTTTAGTAAAAATGAAAAAAATTTTATCTCTTAAGAAAACTT